TTGTTACTAGTAGCGATGCACTTGTTACTATTAGCTTCTTGTTACTTTGAATCTCAAGAGAAAAGCCTTTGACCACCAATAGTGTCAAGAGTCAAAAGAGCTACGTCTGCAGTTGCCGAGCACAATGCCAGCAAACCCGTGTGAATATTGTTGAGCGGGTAGCGGGGTCGACACCAAGAGTATTCGCATGTCAAGCTTGCCAGGGTACCATCCACAAACAACATAATCTTGGGTTCTTGAAAACCGTCCCTGCCAAACTTTCTGAAATCTGAGGTAGTTGTGATCAAGTTTTTGCATGAATGCCTTGACATGTCTTCACTTGATGTACTGTATCTATTGCTGCAAGCGGGTTCCGCAGCGAGCACTTCGCGCTCTACGTACTTTGAGCTGTGCATTTGCACTTCTGCGGCGAGCTGTTCCCGCTCGCAGTTCTGGCTCTCAGCCCACAGGCTGAAACGGCCACGTCATAAAAGAACATCCTTCACTTCGTCAAAACAGCCTGGGGAGGAAAGCCAATCACCTGAAGATGCCTCTGCTGCCTAGGCCTTCAGGTATGCTCGATCCAGATACGCCGGACTCTCTTTTTCTACCAGTACCTACTGGGAGACAAGCAGGTCACTCGCAAGTGTGGCAGTTCGCCAAGTCGACTCTTGAGTGGCTTGTTTTTCAGCCACAACTTCTGTGACTGAACCCAGCGACCGGTATCGATTTGTATTGCTGCTTGGACTCATCAGTCCACTGAATGCTCTGTGCGAGAACTTGGAAGCGAAGTGAAGCTCACAGTGAGCCTGACCAAATCTCCAACCTTTCAGGTACCCTTCTTTGATCAAACACATCCCAGCTCCTGGTACATGGCCGAGGGCCGGTGGACAGTGCCCAGTGCGACTCTGTTGGATCCCAATGAATCCTGATGAGAGCATGTCGGTCCCCAAAATCCAATTGAAATAGATTGACGACAAGGTACCAATCCCCAATAAATAGGTTTTGACAAGTAGAATGGCTTGGCATTTCATGACACTGCACTTCCTACGTCACAAATCCAAGTTGGTGCAGCTACCGGGGTTTGAATTTTCTCCAATACGGAATCCACAAAGGCCTACTTTCTGTCGGGTACCCTCCGAACGAAACCATCTGAGCATGTGTATACATATGTATACATGCTGAAACCTTGACGTATCACTCAAACATGTGCAGAATAGACATGAATAGACTATCAAAGGAGATGTTCACCCACTTGTGGGTATCAGTTTTGACCAATTCCTTTTTTAATCTATTGGGATGATATGCCAGTAGCACACTTCAGGTTACTGTACTTTGAAGCAATATGTAAATAGATGTATATGACAAACAACTGCAGCACAAACTGTTCCGCAAAAGATTGATTTATGTAGCACACTTGCATATGCTTCCGTGGTGTATTTCAACATGTGCCGAACACCAATTGAATTTGTTCAATGATCCAAGCACTTGCCCATTTCTGCGACAGAACACTCAGCTTAAAGAAAACAATGCCTTTACAATTAGCTTCAGCAGTGGCGTTTTTGCGTTATCCTTCACTCCTGTGCCAGGTAGAAGGGTACCGGGTTAATCAGGAAAGATCATTGTTTTAGAATATCCAGAAGATACCTTCATGGTGATTCACATAGGCAAGGAAAGTGGCCATGTACAGGTACAGACAAGTGACTCTACTTCATCAGCAGTTTGTTGGATGCCAAAGCCGGGAGAACACCAGCCCATTGAGGACATCCGCCCTCCGATTTGCACCCATGCGATTCCTGGATCAAACTCCAGTTTCGGCAGATTTGTCTATTCACCAACTTGAAATGAAAGACCTGGCAGGTCAACCATACAAACATCTTCTATTTCTATTGACCAACCGATGCAAAATGGATCTGGCTTTAAAAGGATCCAGTGACCCACAGGTTGACTCGTCATGTGTTTTATGTATCTTCCAGGCATGCAGCCATAGCGGACATACTGTATATCCGAACATCTCATCTCATCTCATCGAAACACCCGCTTCTTTAGACCTTTAGATTTAGATCTTTTGCGCTATTTTTTAGCCCGTGGCCCTGCCTCCGGCTGAATTAAGTAGGCGCTTACTTAATTAAGGGAGTAAGTGAGTCAGCTCCTAGCTACTGGACGCAGGATAGCTCACGCTTCTTCAAGGAAGCTCCCCGCGCCGCCCTAAAGGCGGCGGAGGGGAGTTTCCTTGAGGAAGTGCTCGCACTAATAATTTGATTCCTAGATTTTTAGAGAAACTTAAAGTGCAAAGTGCTGTTTTCTTCCGTCCACTCTCCGAAAAGCGCCACGGGGCCGAAGCCGCTCAGTTGGGGCGTCGGTTCAGCTTCTTCGCCCGTGCAAGCTCCGCCACTTGCGTCTCGGAGAGCTCATGGCTTTTCCTGGCGTTTTCGCTTTCAATTCAAAGAGCTTCCAAGCTTTGCAACAAAGACACGCACACAAACACTTCACACATTTGCGGAGAGGGCTCAAAATATATATATATATGGATATATATATATATATATTACACTCATCTCCAAGCCGATCCTGTCCAACACATATTTATCATTTATCTCTTCAGATCTATTCACTCAACTTTTTCCTACAGAGCACCGCATCGGCGGAGATGTACCCGGGCAAATCAGAAACAGTCGGTCTCGAGAAAACCTCGACTGGCTCCAGCCGTCCGCCTCAGACTGGGGGAAGCTGGCGAGCTTTTTACTGGGGAACTATACCTCTAAGTCTACAATCTACAACCATCTTTAAAGGTGACCTGGGTCGTTGGGTGACATTGGTGACAACGTGACCATCATCAAACGGCATGCGGGCACACGTTGCGCACGCTGCGCACACGCCTCTCGAGAATTTGGTTGATGCTCTCCAGAAGCTCTTGCCAGGCAGTAGATCGAAACAGCAGACTGATCGACACAAAGGCCGACAGGAGCACCGTGGTCTTGGCCTGATCAAGCCTTGGGTTGTGCAGTTCTCGTTGTGTGTGGGGGTCTCTTTGGAACCTCAACATGCGGCATGAATTGGATAGGAAAAGGAGGTGCAAAGCAAAGCGCACCAGGAGGGGTCAATGTCTTCTTCTAGATTTGATTGTTGATCTGATATGGCAAACGGTTTTCTAAGAGTCTAAAAGAATAAACACACAACTACCTTGTGAACTATTGAAGAACACCTGGGAGCTATCTTTGACAGCAGGAGACTCAACTAATGAAGAATAATCACAATCAATTTCCTGTTCCCGCTGTTCCTGGTAATATCGAGATATGGGATTGGACTATATAGACTATCTAGACTTGACTATACGCATAATTATACACGTCGTATATATATATATATATATCACTATAATTATATAGTATAACTGTGGGAGCCTGCGACTCCATCAAACCATATTCCATCCACAATGATCGACCAACATTTCATAAGGACTACCCAGACTACCCTGGAACAGATCCACCCAAACGATCCCAAACACACAAACTGACGAAAGCTGCTGCCTCGTTTTTCTCCAAACAAGGTTGAAATAACTTTAAATTTCATCATGCAATCAGAAGCTGGATTTCTTCTGTAGATCAAAGAAAGGCATCGATAATGAATAGGGACTTGTAAGAACCCCAATCCAAAGGTAAGGCATTTGGTTCCTTGAGTCTTGCTATCCGAAGTTGCTAGATGTTGCTAGCGTTCTAGTATGTGTTTGGTAATTAGTGATTGTTTGATCCTTTTCATTGTTTACGGCATAGTCATTCTTTTTGGGGATGAATCAAAACATTCTTGGGTGCATCTCCCCAAGCTGCCTTGAACTGGCGAAATGGATGGGCACGCAAGCATGCCTGGGGGACTGGACTGGCAGGCGGGCTGAGGAAGGACTGCGGAAGGACCGCGGTTTGGCCTTTGGGGGGATGAACATAAGGTCTTTCGCCTCCAAGAAGGTGAGTGGACAGGAGCCTCCAACCAACGAGAAGGTGAGTGGACAGGACATTCATGCCGACATGCTCAAACCTCTCAGGATCCAACAGTGGCATGCCTAACATCTCATACAGACTAGGTAGGTCCAACTTCGGCACAAGGGCATCTTCCCATGATATCCCATCTTGATGCTCTTGACTCTTGATCCATCAATCTCCTGCCTCAAGGAGAGACTACCAAACACAACGAGCATCCATCAGGTCTTTGGCCCACGACTTGGGACGAAGCAGTGGACCCAGCAGCTAAAACAACGGCGATGTCTCCACTAATCCTTTGACATGATATGAGGCTGCGCCGATATTGTCTATTGCAATAAGTTGGTCTCATGTTCGTTTATAGTGAACCCATGTAAACCCCCTATTGTTTTTCATGATTGGGTTTTCGTAGGATGCTTAGGAAGAGGTATCGTTTTTTAAGGAGTCCCCTTTTGTTTTTTCCACAGAATACTGAAATCCCCTTAGCAACATGAGCCGATCTTTACAAAAGCAGTCTTCGATCATTTCGAGGGTAATTCATCTTGATTGCCTCGTTGTGGACGGCTTCCGGCTTTCGCTGACCCCACAAAATGGTCATCTCAGAAACTCTTCTGCCGCGGGTCAGGTCTGGTCCACGGATCAATCGGAATATATTTGAGGCACATGAACATGTTGAGTTGTTTACAGTTTGAACTTTACACTTGGACATGTGTTTTTCTTATTTTTTATCAATCCAGAATTGACCTATTGCTCCACACGGCGCCACAAATGATTGGCCCCCAAAAGGCATCCCAGCGCAGGCATGACATGACATCCTCAGGTCCTCATTGCTATAAGTCCTTCTTAGAGTGGCCACTCAAACTAATCACATACAATCACATCACTAATCACATCCATTATCGTCCATTCCGAATCCATAATCGGAGCGTGTGAGCCAATCTAGTACAGTATAGCTTCCCAGAATAAAAGCATTTCATAGTCCTCCGACCATTGTCTCAAGGAAATCGTGGACAATATTGATACCATCGAACGGGACACCGCAACTCTAGTGCTGGACAGCCAGGCAAATTGCGACCTGGATGCATTAAAGCCCGCACTTCAGGGCCTGCCGACTTGTTCTTCTGCGCCTTCTGAAATTGGCCGCAAGCCCAAAGCATGTTGGTAACCTGCCCCGGCTAGATGTGGATCATCAAACAAGGCAAGGACGATCCGGGAGTCATAAGGAGCCTGCAGTTTGGTACTTCTTGCAAGTTGCCATAGTTGTCATCATTCATCAAACAAGTTGCCAGGGAAAGAATTGGAGCAACTTCAAAGGGAAAATCAATGCTACCAGATTTGACTCCCACAATGTCCCAAATAACTGAGAAGTTGACACGCCTCATTGCACTTTGCCCCAAAAGGAAGCAATATCATAGCCTCCAGCCCGGAGGAAAATCTCCTTTCAAACCACTTCTACGAGGGGCGAAGCGTTTGTTGAGGTCCCATGACTTTTGGCACCGAAAAAGGCGAGTCATTCGTGACATAGCGAGTCATACACACGTGTCCCACGAACGCTCCAAAGCATGTGAGCATCCATTCAACGCTTGCGTCCGCATCATCTTTTCTTTCGGCTGCACAGCCTATTTAGAAGCAAATCCAGCTATATAGTATAGCTGGCTTGAGACTGCGGCTTGCAGTTGGTCGGCAGTTGGTAAACAAGCGCAGAAACACATCTTCATTCATGTCATGTGCTATAGTCCAGGAGACTCTAGCCAAAGGGTGTTCAATCATATACAGTTTCCCACAAATCCCACAAAACGGTCTCTGCTCAATCCCATGATTTCACATAAGCGATGCACAACACACCAACCACCCCCTCACCTGACTGACAATGGATGATTACTTAGGACTCTTATGACTCTCCCACTGACAGATCCATTTACAACACCCGTTGATGGAACATCTGGGACTTCCCTTCTGCTTTCCCAAGTGGGTCCACTCGCCTCATAAAGCTGGCAGGACGTTGGGCTCTGGGCCACCACTTTGACCAAGGCGGACAAGAGCTGCTTGTTGAAGACTTTCAGCATGGCACAAGACCTTGCCCGATGGTTTTCCAACCGTCAAGAAAGGGTTGTTGTGCCGTCCTTTTCTGAAAGATGTGGTCAATTGGCCGAACAAAGACCTCCAAAAACATCAAACAGATCCACGCAGCAGCATGCAACAACCGTATCCTGTGACTGGCAACGGAATGCAAACATGATGTCGCCTCTGGTAGGACCACTTGTTTTGTGTACCTACTTTCTGGACATCCTTATCGAATCCTCGAAAACCTCAGCATCTACGCGTGTTTGAGAGGTGAACACGACCCTAAGTCCATGGAGGGTCTCCATGGTGAACATCGTACTTTCAGAGCCTCATGTATCATTCAGACTGGAGAGGGAGAGAGAAAGAAAGGACAGTGACATCCATCGTTTTGACGCCTGAGTGACGTCGGAGACTTCAGTAAAAAGGAGGTCCCCTCTCTCGGTGCGGCCCGGATCGGAATCTAAAGATTCGTCTGATCTGATCTGATTCTAGTCGGTCGTCCTTGAAGCAACTAATTTAACTTAATTTAAATTCTATTTATTGTTTCTAATAGCTTCATGTTCCTAGTAGTAAGGCACTTGTTACTAGTAGCGATGCACTTGTTCCTAGTAGCTTCTTGTTTCTACAAAACGGCTGCGGTTTGCTCTGGGTTGGACTTTGATGGACTCCAACGTCTCACGGATCCGACGTCGATCGCTTCGCATCGCGTCACCGCCAGGCACCAAAGCTTCTTTGAATGTGATCACTTCAACAACTCTTCACTTCAGTATACTTCAGTAATGTTTTAAGCTCTACGAACAAGCCCTGATGGCATCTGATGGCATCCATTTGCACCACTGTCCAGAAGGATCGAGATAATCTGGAGATCAAGGCCCCCATGAAACCCTTCGTGTTTTTGTTTTCACCCAGCCACCACGCGATGATGGTGCAGCAGTTGGGAGTGAGCATTTCACCCCCAATCTCCAACTGTTGCACCGCTTTCAACTCCGCCATCGAGAGCATTTCATGGAAGGTCTGTGCCTACCCGGCTTTGGTGAAGCCGATGTCCCGAGCGGTGAAGAGTTGGATGGCGCAGAATACGAGGGAACCACTGAACCACCGCAAACCAAAGGTGAAAGCAAGTATAATTGGACCACAACCATTGAGGACTAAGGCATATACGTAGCTAGTAGCAAACACCTACAGAGTAGTGGAAGCGATGGACCAAAACCGTTCTCTACTCAATCTGTACTCCAGGAGTGCCCCGTCCAGAAGAAACTAATCCCCGGTAGAGTTCCTCTTCCGCCCCTTGGCCACCCTGAATAGCTCACATGGACCCAGTGATCTGGCTGTCTGGTTTTGATCACCGCAAAACATCTAAGCCCAACACTGGAAACGATAACGATGCCTCGCCCAACATCACATCCTCTGGGGAAAATTGGTTCGCCTCACCTGCGTCACTTCATGGCTTGGACACTTTGCAAGGCGATGGAAAGCCGTTGCCAAGTTGATCCCATTCATCTGCACCTGGTGCCTCAATGCCGTTGTCAAAAACAAGTCGTCAGACGTGTAGTCGTCTTCGTTCATGCTGGGGGGTGATGAACCGGAAAAAACACAATGAACAAAGAACAATACATTGAATAAAACAAACTGACAACCTTTGGGTTATGTTTTGTTTAAGTAATTGTATAGCGTATATAAAACTGACTGGGATCCACAACTGCTGGGTTGGGAGTGAGACAGGTGCATGTAAGAAAGTCTGTATGAATGTCATTGTAAGAAAAAACGCTACAAACATAACATAACAGCAAACATGCAAATACCCAGGATGCCAGGAATTCTGTTTTTGTTCCTTTATCAAGGCCTGTTTAACATGCTAGAGAGACCTGTGCCAAAGGAGACATACAAAGCAAAACGGCAAGCAGCCGCGAGGAAACCTTCCAGAAATATGCAATCGGATGCTTTTAGCGTTCGGGGTCGGATAGGACCAGGGTCACTTGTTTGGGTCTCTCTGAATGTCACCCTAACGAACCAATAGGGTCCACTTACGAACCCATCGGGATGATATCTCAAAAAGTGAAAACACACGCAATAATGTATATTCCAACTAGGTTGTATATCAAAAAAGATAAGAATTTGAACAAAAACAGTTGAATTGGGTGGATCAAGTTGGATCAACCTCTTTTGAGGCCAAGTGCTTGGTCACAATGTCCAAGATCTCCGCCGGTGTACGTCCTGGCGTCAACCGGTGTCAACCAGAGTCGCCACCGAGGGAAATCAGTCTCTGGGTATCGAAAGGAAAAAACACACTGCATGTGATTTATATGGGTATCTAGTTGTCGTATATCAACAAAAACAACTTTTTTGTAGCCCGCTGCTCTCTCCTAATTCAAGTAGTTCCCGGGCAAGCCGGCGGCGGAAGTTTGCAAAAGAATAAACCTATAGGAAATGGGCATGTGGCTGGCTGATTCGCCGAGCTGCGATGTTCTTTGACAAACCAAGTTGGAACCGACCAATGGAGCGAAAGCGAAGCAACCACCGTCAACTGTCTCGCATTTTGCAACATACAGAATAGAGATGACTCAGCCGCGACCTACAGTTGTACTACAAAATCGCCAGTTCTCAGCTTGCAGCTCCACAGATTGCTCCGCGTACTAAAGTTGCACTACAAGGTCGCCAGTTCTCATCTTCGTACTAAAGTTGTACTACAAAGTCGCCAGTTCTCAGCTTCCAGCTC